GCAAGCGCACAGGAGGTGCTGGAGCAGTGTGGAGGAGTCAGAGTCCTCAGCACATCAGCGTGCCATTCTGGACTCATCTCCTCTCAGAAGCAGGTTGCCATCTCAGCAGTTCATAAAGCCCTACTTGGGTGGACACACTGTTAACCATGGCTTCCTTCACTGATAAGTTTTCACATATGCTGAGTGAATTCTGATGAAAAATAGCTCATATTCTTCAGAAGCATTGCTGCCTCCAATTTAAGCCTGCATATTTTTCACCATGCAATACGTATCTCTGCTTAAATTTTTCTAATATAACTTTACTATTCCATAGCAACCTTGGATTACTTCTCCTTACTCATTAATGATAATGTCTTTTTTTGCGAAATCTGCACATTTATAGGTAGATGTTACATGCAATGATAAAACGTTAGCAAAGTGGTTTTAATTTATGGTTGAAAAGAAGAAGTAAAAGGACAAGTAAATAAGAGTGAATTCCTTTTTGACATGATCTGTTTTCTAAACCATTTAAAATACAGATTCATGATGTTTCACTCGTTACACCAAATTAAAGGTTGGTGAAAATGAGGAAGATATCAAAAGATAGGCAGTTCACATAATTTTTACTCATTTTCATTGTAACACATTTAACAGAATTCAAGCCTGTTCAAGAAGACTATCACACACACAAATGTGACCAAGTTTGGAAGAAACTATGATCATGGTAATTTTTCATGATTTGTGTTTGGAAATCAATCAACATAGCATATTAGATAATTATTATAAAACTGTATAAATTATTTTATACTTTCATTGGTTAGTGTTATCTAGAAAAGTAAAATAAATAGAACACATATTCATCAAACATACACACACACACACACACACACACAGAGATATATATTAATTCCCTGGATATATTTCCACAAGGGGATAATTGCATCAGCTTACAAGTTCAGCACAAGGAGAGTCCACAGATGTAGTCTAAGTGGTGAATCTCCAGATAATCCAGTCACTGTTCTCCACAAGAATTTGCAATTCACAGAGTAAGAGGGATTGAAAAGCAACACAACCCCGATACTGGAAGCCTGCCCTCTAACTGAAGAGCCCGTGGAACGAGGCTGGTTGTGTAGCTGAAGAAACTGTATCTTCAATACACAGCTACAGACACTTTCTTTCACCCTTTTATTCTACCTGTCTCGTTATCCCACCAGAAGATGCCATTCCCAGTTGCCTTAGGTCCTACATGGCCAGTTGGTGAACTACATACCAGTCATATTTGAAGCATGTGATGGGCAGATCCAGAAGTGGGCTTTGCTAATCTGCTAGATATTGCTCAATCCAGTCAGGCAGACATGTCATGAGTAGCAGTCACAGGGCATCCCAGGCAGATTTGGCAACCAAGCACGTGTCCTTAAACAATATAAAATTTATAATACAGTTAATAGCAAGTGTATAATTCCAGCTTACATACTGAAGATGCTCTGCAAGACAAGGAGAATGTCTTCACTCCTCCCCACAGCCTTGTTGAAGTCTTCCTTTGAATGGTGTATACATTTCCAGGGACATCACTTAACTTATAAAATATTGATTTATTTAACTGCTGATATTAATCAGTTTTAATTATATTATACAGTACAGGAATACAACAAAAAGTTCCAAAGATACCATATGGTTTTAGCAGACATTTCAGCTGCTTTAGTTTCTCTATATAGAGAACTAATCCTAACCATTCTTTGTGAAGCCTCTGGGCAAGTTCTTATTCTGCCTGAACTAGGTGTTGCAACTTTGCACTGACCTTAGTGACAGACCACAGTAATACTAGACGTCAGTAGGCATCCCCTACATTTGATTTTTGCTTCTTTAAAAGCTTTTATATATTTATTTGAGAAAACCATAAAAATAACAATAAAACAAACTTTCAAAAAAAATTGGCAGGATAGTTGCAATAATTAAGACATTGTGTATTGTTGTCTTTGTAGTATTTTTTCAGAGTACAACATAGAGGCACGATACAGAATTGCCACTGGTCATTCTCAGACTTCATGTCAAAGGAATCGGTGCTTTTTCTGTAGCTAGAAGTTTTTACGTTTGTAAAATGGAATTTTTATGTTAGTAAAGCATAAGGTCATAAGAAGGTGAAAGAAAATATATTACTACTGGGTTATTGAGGTTAATGTTCAATGATACCATGCC